AACACAAATGCCGATTATCTGAACCGGTACTGGTCCTCCCCTAGGTCGACTCGGCCTCAAATGAGTACACAGTACGGATGCGTAAAATAGCCACCGGAGAGACAAAGGCGGCTGGGCAGTGGTGCTGGCCGCTCCACCGCCCTCGTGCGCTGTGCCGGCCGACGGCATGGGTGCTACTGCCTAGCAGAGGACTGTGTAGGCCACACGGGGGGGGGGGTCTTTGTAAGGGGGGGGGGGGGTTGAGGAGGATGTGTGAGAGTACCTGACCCCCCCCCCACCTTTGGTGACCCCTTGATGTGCCCGGGCTGCGTGGCTGTCACGCGCACACGTGGCTCGCCGTGCACGCGCGCTAATTACGCTCGCTCGTCAATTACGCCCAATTATTGTGCCACGCGCATCAAACGTGTCCGGCTAATTAACATTGTGCGTGGGTGGGTGCGTGCGTGTGTGTGTGGGCGTGAGGGTGCGTGCATGGGTGTGTGGGCGCGTGGGTGCGTGCGTGGATGCGTGCGTGGGTGTGTGGGTGCGTGGGATCCCTCGTCTCGCCTTGAACAGACTTGTTGAGGGTAGCACCTATGAGAACCGGCACGGCACACGAGGGGGTCGGGTGGTCAGCCCCATGCCCGGCCACCTTTGTCTCCCCAGTGGCGATGTTTACACACCGCACCAGGTACTCATTTGAGGCTGAGTCGACCTAGGGGATGCCCAGGACCGGTTCAAATATTCCGCTGCTGTTTGCGGAAATCTAACTCGGTTGGCCGGGTTCATAGCGCTGTGCGCTAACCGCTGCGCCACCGCTCCCCGTACAAACGTGGACACAGGCACAAGTGGGTAGTGAGGAGTGCCGTCAGTGTCTCTTGGGGCTTGAACACGGACTCGCACCGACCTCGCTCCAGGGAGTCCACGACTCGAGTCCGCGCGACGCGCCACCGCTACCTACGCCTTTGTTTGCCAATTTTTTTTACCAATTTTACTCACGCTGCACACTTTTTAAACTCGTATCACATGATACGCTCAGCAATTAACGATATCTGCGTCACGGGGAACACGTGTACACACCCACACTGAGACCTCACTCTTAACATGAATCCGATCTATTCACGGAGACAGCGTTAATTTCCTTTGTGCGTCGCGTGAAATGTGTTCCACAATCAGCGGGCACGTTTACCGTGGCGCGAGTTTGTGACACCCTGCCTTACTCCGTCTATACACACGTAAACAAAGTGGCACAGCGGTTAGTGAACCCGGAGACCTGAGTTCGATTCCCGGCTATGGCTAACATCGGCGAAGAATATCTAAACAGGTTATGGACTCCCTGATGTCACCAACTCGCTCCGACCGGCGTGGTGAAGTATGGTCAAACAACGCCCGCGACCGACACAGCGCGGCGAGGCCTTCATCCAGCAGTGGATTGACACTCGTGGCGGTAACTTCACCCCACGGGAGCTTGTGCCAGGCTAGGTGCACTTTTGAGGCTAGGTGAAACTCGCTGCGCGAATGGTCGCAGGACATGCACGCATGTGTACAGTTAATTTCTACGACGCAGGTATATACAATACAGTGTGTGTATATGTACACGCACGTGACCGAATGGATATACTTCCTCACGCTGGTGTAGGGGTTCAGAATCAAAACATTTATATATGCTGGAGGAATCCGATGAGCTCTAAAGCTCTTTTTCACAGATAACCAGTAGGGGGGGGAAGGGTTGGTGTTGGCGGCGCGGTATGACCCCGGGTTGGAGGTCACTCGCCGTGGACGGGACGGAAAAGCGGTCACGCCACTTACCTGACCCCCAAACCCAGGCACGATCCCTGCTACTGCTGCCGCTGCTGCTGCTGCCGCTGCTGCCGCTGCTGCTGCCGCTGCTGCTGCCGCTGCCGCTGCCGCTGCTGCTGCCGCTGCTGCTACTGCCGCTGCTGCTACTGCTGCTACTGCTGCTACTGCTTCTCGGTAGCTGTCACGTCGGCGTCTCGCCTGGAAACAAGTGGCAGGGCGGCTTCACCATCCACCCATACCTTCCCCCATGCACTATCTCTCTCGTCCGCTCAACAATCCATCCATCTCGATTTAAAGCTTTCGTGACTGCAGGGATTCATCTTCTTGGTTCTTTCGGTAAAATCACGTAGAAGGGACAGCGTCTTTCCGACAGACCTATTCTTCACCTGAGGACGGCTGCTTGCGTTGTGGCCGAAACGTCGTGAGAATAATTTTATTATGTTTTATTTTTATTATTTTATTATTTCCCTTCTACGTGACTTTACCGAAAGAACCAAGAAGATGAATCCATCCATCCATCCATCGATTAATCAATAAATATATGCATACATCAATCAATGCATATATATAAATCTATCAATCCATGCATTGTCCATCACTCCATGCATCATCCGTCCATCCATTGCATGATCCATCCATCCATGCATCTTCCATTATATCATCCATGCTTATATAAATACATCAATCCATCCACGCATCATTCATCAAACCTTACATGAAATAAAATATATCAATAATTAATTCATCAATCATACGACCATCATTTATACATCCGTCATCCATCAACATCATTCCATCAAATATACATCGATCATCCATCACGATCAATACATTCACCATCAATACATCGACCACCGTCAATACGTCCATCACAAATCCATCCTTCATTTTTCAATTAATCCAGCCATTGTCATCAAATGATACACTTTTCGTCATCCATCCATCAACCTCAAAGAATGTGATCGTCACTGTCATGACCATAATTATCACCATTGTCTCCATCATCATCAGCATCATCATCAGCATCATGGTGTCTTGACGCCAGTTGCTCACTCACTACAGGCGCTCTCACTGCGACGAGATGTCGAGATTGTTGGACACTTTATCGACCCAATTGATGGTGACGATGGTTCGGGTTCCACTCGAAGCGTGGAGTCGAGCGAGCCCCGGGCGCCCAGCGGCTCAACCTGGCTCAGGAGCCAGACGCCGATGTTGAGGTCTGCTGCTGCTGCTGGCCATGACGAGAGGGCTTCAGCAGCAGCAGCAGAGAGAGAGTTCGTGTCGCTCTGCTGTTGCTTCGTTAAGGCAGCGCAATCCGCAGTGGGATGACTGCCCGGGTCGTCGTTTGGGTTGCACGGCCACCGACACTCACCTTTGCGCCCCACATCACCGAGTGAGCCCACGACTGAAACATCATCTCAGGTGAGCACGTGGTCTGTCGGTACGTTGTGAGCACAGGTAGATTGTGTTGGCGATGCTGCTGCTGCTGCTGCTGCGTTGGCAGTGGTGCACAGGCAACAGCAACACTGCGTGAGCAGTCTTACAACAGGCAACGTTTCCAGCAATGGCCCTTCATGCATAGCACGTGGGTGACGCTTGCGAGGTTGTGGTCATGTATGTACGTTGGCGCCGTACGGAGCGAACCCGTCCTCATACGAGGTGCGGGGGATGGGCAACAACATAATCACAAAAAGCAGTTCTCGAGAAACGAGTTTTCAATCGAGATGATTTAAAAAGTGCAAAGCTTCGGAAGGAAGAGCGTTCCAGACGGCCGCAGAAGCGCATTTGCGAGCGCGCGATGCGGTGACCGCCATCTGTGTTCGATGGCTGTCAGGCAAAGGTCGCTGCTGCGAGGATGACCGCAGTTCGCTTGATGATGAATGCGCCGGGGTGGCGATCGTGGCGATGGCGAGGGACTAGCCGACGATTCGATGTCCGATTTGTGCGATCCACTCCACGGCTTCCCGAGAGCCCGGGTGGAGAAATGAAGTGCCTCCCGCAAAGACGGTGGCTGGGATGAGGATGTGATGATGATGACGGTGCATGATGGTGTCGATAGTGATGATGATGATGGTGGTGATGGCGAGTGATGACGTCAGCCACACTGCTCGTGATGTGCAGAGCGGCGACAGTCGTGGACGCAGCCGCTCTCAGGAAGGAGCCGAGCGAAGCTGCTCGAGACGTCTTCTCTTGCTTCTTGTCACGAGTCACGTCCACCTCCACCACTCCACCTCTCGCCCCTCCACCTCTCGTCCCTCCACCTCCACCCCTCCACCTCTCGCCCCTCCACGTCTGACACTGTCACGCACTCGGCTCACCGGGAGGGACCGTCACTGCGGGATGCACAATCGAGGCGAGCACCACCATCCAAGCCCCGTGGCGCTGTTTGTGTCGCGACGAGTTTGCTTTAACACCCTCATCGGCAGTCACGAAATCCGCAATAAATAACAACAACAACAACAAACTGAGTCGTGCACTGTGCATCACAGCCCGGCGCTGGAGAGAAACCACACACCCACCACACAGTGTCGGCCACCATGGCGCCTGTTTAACCATACTTCACCACTCGTTCTCAATGCGGATATGTGAAGTGGAAGGGCGCGTGGTGGTGCGGAAACCGGTTTGGATATCGCTCGCCGCTCATGGCAAAGTCGGTTCGCCCGTGCGCGGTGCGCTAACCATGGCGCCCACCGCTCCCAGCACCGCAGCGCGCAGCACTCGAGAAGAGCGGCGGCAGCGAACGTAGCGGGAGTGTTGGTCGCGCTACGTGGAGACACGGGCTGGGTGGGGGACACGGGCTGGGAGACACGGGCTGGGAGACAGGGGCTGGGAGACACAAGCTGGGAGACAGGGGCTGGGAGACAGGGGCTGGGGGCCTGGAGCAGGGAGCTGGACGCGGCCTCTCAGCACGCGGCAGGAGCGCGGCTCTTTGACTGCACACGGAGAGCGGAGTAACACTGCCCCCCCACCGCCACCCCCCCACCTCCACCCCCCCACCTCTACTCCCCCACCTCCACTCCCCCACCTCCACCCCCCCCACCTCCACTCCCCCCACCTCCACCCCCCACCTATCCCCCCCCACCTCCACCCCCAACCTATCCCCCCCCACCTCCACCCCCCCACCTCCACCCCCACCTCTCCCCCCCCACCTCCACCCCCCCATCTCCACCCCCACCTCCACCCCCCCACCTCCACCCCCCCACCTCCCCCCCACCCCCGGACCGTGACTCGACCTCTGTGACCTCTCCCCGCCGCGGCTCACGTTGCGCAATCGATCCGCTTGTAGTTTCACGATTTGAGTTCGTTTATTGCCGCGGAGCCGGAACGCCGGAACGGGCCCCGGTGTTGAACCGTGACCCTTGCCGCGGTCCCAGCCGAGGGGCTGAGCCGCGGATGATCGCGAGGCGCCGCGAGGGTTCAGTGAAGAAGCGAGCGGGGGGAGGGGTGGGGGTCTGGGGGAGATGTTGGGGGTGCAGGTGGGGGGGTCTGTACGCGTGGGAGGTTTCGCATATCAGACGTCGCAACATCGAACCCCGAGGCTGTGACATCGTCGGCTGCGAGTCCTGCCGCGTCTCGCGCCATTGGTGAGGTTGTGGCGAGGTTGTGGCGAGGTTGTGGCGAGATTGTGGCGAGGTTGTCGCGAGGTTGTGGTGAGGTTGTGGTGAGGTTGTGGCGAGGTTGTGGTGAGGTTGTGGCGAGGTTGTGGCGAGGTTCGGGTTGAAGTTCGTGGCCCCTGAGGACGTCTCTGCTTGCTGAGCTGAGTCGGCGCGAGCCGCGCCTTGGGGCCCAGGGGTGGTGAAGTATGGGGACGAAGGACGGGGTGGGGGGTCCCCTTGTGCAAGGGGGGTGGGGGGGGCAGAGTGACGCGGGGCGTCTTGACCCCAACGGGGCCGGGTCTCCCCGCTTCCCTGACCCCGTTCCTGGGACCCCCCCCCCACTCCCCGCAGTGTTTCACCCAACTGAGCAGGGGAGGAGGAGGGGGGGGCACGCCCCCTCCCCCAGCGCCCCCCGCGCCCCCAGCTCGCTACCCGATGTTGACGAGGCTGGAGGAGAGCGGCTGCAGCAGCGACGAGTCCTGCAGGGCATGTGCCGCCTGCTGCTGCTGCAGCTGCAGTTGCTGCTGCTGTTGCAGTAGGGGGCCCGGCCCGGCCAGAGGGCCCCCCGCAGAGTTAGAGGCCAAAGTCGGCAGAGGCATCAGGGTGCCCCCCACGTACTGCTGCTGGTACGCGCTGGCGTGATGCTGCTGCTGCTGCTGATGATGATGCTGATGATGATGCTGATGCTGCTGCTGCTGATGGTGATGATGTTGGTGGTGCTCGCCGTGCCCTGCTGCTGCTGCTGCCGATGCTGCTGCTGCTGCGGGGTGATGTCCCAGGAGGCGCGGCGGCGGGGGGGTGTCGTCGGGGGTGGAGTGCGCGGGGGAGGGGCCCGGACTCCTCTCGTCGTCGTCCGAGCTCAGCAGGCCGCGGCCCCCGTGGAGGGGGGAGAGCAGCAGCCCCCCACCGCCCCCCGGCCCCCCACCGCCCGCGCCCCCTCCCGCGTTGGAGTGGTGGTGGTGCGCGTTCTCGCTGTTCTCTCTGCGGGGAGGCAGGGGGAGTTGGGGGAGAGGTGGGAAGGGATGAGATGGAACGGGATTCGTCACGGAGGGGCCCGGTCCTCATTCTACCTCGATACAAATCGATACAAATCGAAAAAAATCGACACAAATCGATAAAAAATCTAAATAAATCGACGCAAATCGATAAAAATCGATGACACAAATCGATAACAATCTATACAAATCGATAAAAAAAATCGACTCAAATCGATATAAATGCACACAAATCGCACTCCTCCGTCGAATGCATCGCGCCGTGACGCGCCGCACCACAAAGACAAATTTCCCCCGTGTAGCCTCAACAGACTGTTGGGGCAAGTGCCGTGAGCGAGTAGCGCACGAGGGGGTGGGTGGCCAACGCCCGGACGCCTTTGTCTCCCCAGTGGCGATGTTTGCACCCCGCACTAGCTACTCATTTGAGGCTAAGTCGACCTAGTGGAGGCCCAGGATCGGTTGAGATAATCGTCATTGGCGGTGTTGGCCGGGTTCGTAGCGAAACGCGCTTCCCGCTTTCTAGCCGCTCCTACCACACCACAAACTCCCCACCAAGTCACACCACCCCACACACAACACACCACACACTACACACCACACACTACACACCACATTACCCACAACACACCACACACTACACACCACACACAACACCACACACAACACACCACACACAACACACCACACATTACACACCACACAACACCACACACAACACACCACACACTACACACCACACACACCACATTACCCACCGAGACGAATCACGCCCCACCAACATGCACCGCACACCACCCCTAGACCTAACAACTCACACCCCACCCACACGAAACCTCCACCACACACCTGGACAAACCCCTCTCTCATCGGTTCTATTTGACCCATTGCTCAAGTTACGCTTCAGCCGAGGAAATCCTCGCTGGACCTCATGGCTCGGTTTTCAGGAGGATGGTGCCCCGGTTTTCGCAGTTCGGGGGGGGGGGTGGGGGGTAACCTTATTGAGTAATTTGTGGGCAATTGATCAATGTGGCCTACAATGCTCTAGCGAATGACGCCGCTGTGACGCGCCGCGTATTATTTTGTAAAGGTAAAAAATTCACTCACGGTATTAACCAGGGCTGCCACTGGAATTCGCACCGCGGATTCTCTGCTTTAAAAAGCGGCGAACCGCGCTGTGGCTCACGCGGTGGATGAACACACGTGGTGGGTGAACACACGTGGTGGGTGAACACACGCCCTACGTGGTGGATGAACACACGTGGTGGATGAACACACGTGGTGCATGAACACACGTGGTGCATGAACACACGCCCTACGCGGTGGATGAACACACGGCTCACCGTGGGGTGAGCACACGCGTGCGCGCAGAGTTTATAGACGCAGACAAATCTCCTCCGTGTCGCCTTCAACCACACACCCTTGGAGCACGGTGCTCTTCGCGATGATGGCCGGCAACGGCACACCAGGGAGGTTGGGGGGGGGGGGTGGAAGGCAACGCCACGCCCGGACGCCTTTGTCTCCCCAGTGATGATGTTCACCCACTGCACCAGGTGACGGGTTCGTTTTTTAAGGCTAAGAGGGGGGACAGGTCAGAATATCCGCCACCCGTCATTGGTCGCGAGCGCGAATCGAACTCGGGTTTCACCGGTATTGTGGTTGAGTGCGCTCACCGCTGCGCCACCGCTCCCCCATTCAAGCGCGTACACACGGGGGGGCGGGGCGGGGGGGGCGGGGGGCGGGGGGGCGGGGGGGCGTTAAACGCGGACGCGAGGAACGCGAGGCGCCCGTCTCCTCCCTCGCCCTCCTCCACGACACGGCCCGCAGGGTCAGCAGGGTCAGCACGGCCCGCAGGGTCAGCACGGCCCGCAGAGTCGCGGCTCGCCGCGCTGTGCGAGCGGCGGCGGTCAGCGCCGCGCCGCGCTACGAATCCGGCGGCGACCCGAGTTCTATTGCCGCTCACGGCCACCAACACCAGTGACCATGATCTGAACCGGTCCTGGGGCCTCCCCTAGGTCGACTCAGCGTTAAATAAGTACCTGGTGTGGTGTGTAAACGTCGCCACTAGGAAGACAAAGGCGGTCGGCCGTGGTGCTCTCCACCCGCCCCCTCGTGTGCCGTTCTGGCCTTCACAGGTCCTCGTTAACAGCACTTGCCCCAACAGTCTGTTAAGGCTATAGGGGGATCTTTGTCTTTGTGGACTGAGTGTATGTGGGCAGCGGTAGTATCACGATTCGTGCCCTGCGCTACGAACCCCGTGGCGACCCGAGTTCGATTCCCGATCTCGGCCAACACCAATGACGATTATCTGGACCGGTTCTGGGGGCTCCCCTAGGTCGACTAAGCCTCAAACGAATACCTGGTACGGTGTGTAAACATCGCCACTGGGGATACAAAGGCGGTCGGGCGTGGTGCACGTCCCGTGCCGCCCTTCACATGTGTTCGCTAACAGCACTCGCCTCAGCAGTCTGTGTGGGTGCGTGTGTGTGTGGGTGCGTGTGTGTGTGGGTGCGTGTGTAGGTGTGTGTGTGTGGGTGCGTGTGTGTGGGTGGGTGCGTACGTGTGGGTGCGTGCGTGTGGGTGTGTGTGTTTTGGGAGTGTGCGTCCGTGTGTGTAGGTGCGTGTGTATGTGTGGGTGCGTGTGTGTGTGTGCGTGTGTGTGGGTGCGTGTGTGGGAGCGTATGTGTGGGTCCGTGAGCTCCTCCGGCAGGCAAGGCTGCGTTGGCTGGGTCATGTAGCCCGCATGCCCAGCCACCGCATGCCTAAACAGCTTTTGTTCGGCCGGATCGAGGGGGCTAAACGGGCGCGGCACGGGCTAGAGAAGAGATGGAGTGATGTGGTACAGGAGGACGTGGAGCTGAGTGGACTTGCCGATGACTGGTACCAGCGGGGTCAAGATCGGCCTCAGTGGAGGAGGCTCGTGAAGGACGCTACTGGGCAGTTGGAGGCAGTCGCCCTCCAACAACAACGGAGGGCAGAGGAGCGATGCTCACAACAACGAGCGGAGCGCCGGGTGAGTAAAGCACAGCAAGTTGTCACAGTAGGGGGCACAGGTGGTGCATCAGCCAGTCATCTCAGTCAGTCGACCCGTGGCACCTGGGTCTGCCCCGTGACCTCCTGCCAGCGGGCGTTCGACACTCCACGTGGCCTCAAGGTGCACATAGCCTGGCACAAGCGCCTTGGTGACGTCACCGCCACTTAGTGGCAAATGGCGGATGCCGTTGTGGGTGCGTGCGTGTGGGTGTATGTGTGGGTGTATGTGGGTGTATGTGGGTGTGTGTGAGTGTGTGTGCGTGCGTGTGTGGCTGTTTTCTTAAATGGGGAGCGGTGGCGCAGTGGTTAGCCTCAAGGGTCTGTTGAATGCCCCCCCCCTTCTAGGTCGACTCAACCTCAAACATTGGCACTGGAAAGACAAAGGCGGCCGGGCGTGGTCCTGGCCATTCCACTGCACATGAGTGTTGTACACTGCACGTGAGTGTTGCACACTGCACGTGAGTGTTGTACACTGCACGTGAGTGTTGTACGCCGCACGTGAGTGTTGTACGCCGCACGTGAGTGTTGTACACTGCACGTGAGTGTTGCACGCCGCACGTGAGTGTTGTACGCCGCACGTAAATGTGTTGTACGCCGCACGTGAGTGTTGTACGCCGCACGTGTGTGTTGTACACTGCACGTGAGTGTTGCACGCCGCACGTGAGTGTTGTACGCCGCACGTGAGTGTTGTACACTGCACGTGTGTGTTGTACACTGCACGTGAGTGTTGCACGCCGCACGTGAGTGTTGTACACTGCACGTGAGTGTTGCACACTGCACGTGTGTGTTGTACACTGCACGTGAGTGTTGCACGCTGCACGTGAGTGTTGTACGCCGCACGTGAGTGTTGTACACCGCACGTGTGTGTTGTACACTGCACGTGAGTGTTGCACACTGCACGTGTGTGTTGCACACTGCACGTGTGTGTTGTACACTGCACGTGTGTGATGTACACTGCACGTGTGTGTTGAACACTGCACGTGAGTGTTGTACACTGCACGTGAGTGTTGCACACTGCACGTGTGTGTTGCACACTGCACGTGTGTTGTACACTGCACGTGTGTGTTGCACACTGCACGTGAGTGTTGTACACTGCACGTGAGCGTTGTACACTGTACGTGTGTGTTGTACACTCCACGTGAGTGTTGTACACTGCACGTGAGTGTTGTACACTGCACGTGAGTGTTGCACACTGCACGTGTGTGTTGTACACTGCACGTGTGTGTTGTACACTGCACGTGAGTGTTGCACACTGCACGTGAGTGTTGTACACTGCACGTGTGTGTTGTACACTGCACGTGTGTGTTGCACACTGCACGTGAGTGTTGTACACTGCACGTGAGTGTTGCACACTGCACGTGTGTGTTGAACACTGCACATGAGTGTTGTACACTGCACGTGTGTGTTGTACACTGCACGGGAGTGTTGTACACTGCACGTGAGTGTTGTACACTGCACGTGAGTGTTGCACACTGCACGTGTGTGTTGTACACTGCACGTGTGTGTTGTACACTGCACGTGTGTGTTGCACACTGCACGTGAGTGTTGCACACTGCACGTGAGTGTTGTACACTGCACGTGTGTGTTGTACACTGCACGTGTGTGTGTTGTACACTGCACGTGTGTGTTGCACACTGCACGTGAGTGTTGCACACTGCACGTGAGTGTTGTACACTGCACGTGAGTGTTGTACACTGCACGTGAGTGTTGTACACTGCACGTGTGTGTTGCACACTGCACGTGTGTGTTGTACACTGCACGTGTGTGTTGTACACTGCACGTGAGTGTTGCACACTGCACGTGAGTGTTGTACACTGCACGTGAGTGTTGTACACTGCACGTGAGTGTTCCACACTGCACGTGTGTGTTGCACACTGCACGTGTGTGTTGTCCACTGCACGTGTGTGTTGCACACTGTACGTGAGTGTTGCACACTGTACTGTGTGTTGTAAACTG